TTCTGATTTTCGGCAAATAAAAGTGGGGCGTTACACGCCCGTGTCTGCGCGCGTGCCTGCGTGCGCCCGACCTATTCGCAACCCTCCTGTGCGCGCGCCCGCCAATGCGTGGCCATGCGCGCCACTGCGCGCCAGTGTGCTGCCAGCGCGCCCATGTGCGCGGGCTGCACCCGTTGGGCACCCGAATCGCTTGTCTTCCATTTCTTCGAGCCACCCGGTGCCTTAGCCATCTCCACCAGGTTTTATTACTTTGATATGCATCCCGAAACCACCGATGGCACGTCCGTTTAAGGTGTGGTCTCTTCCGTGCACGCCTACGCCTATGCGCGTGTTCGCGCCCTTCCTTACACCCGATTGTTGCCTGTCTTGGGACTTTTTTCTCGCACGCTCTTGCACACCCCCGTGCGTGACCTTTATGGACCGGCTCGAGTGACCGCACATCCAACCCGCGTATTCCTCCACGTGCTTGGCCGCGTGTTAGTCCTTGACCCACGAGGCCTCCCGAGCTTCCACGTGCATCCTTGTACTTCGCACCTCGCACCTCGCATGTTCTCGACCCATAGTGCGATGCTCGTGCTCGACCCATTCGTACGTCGATCTGTTGTAGCTTTGACCCTCCCGCATTCAGCCGTGCTAGCGTCAACCTCGACCCTTCAAGCCTAGATCTTTCGAGCTTCTTGCTTGACCACTATATCGTGGTAGACCCTTGTATGCTTGACCTCCTATGCCGTTGCGCACGTCGGCAGCCTCGTATGCGGGCTCGTGCACGTCTCCTGGGCCATGCAAGCCTTGTTACGGCCCTTTGCTCGACCTTCTTGGATAGTATCGGCCTTCAAACTGTAATATCCCGTCAGATTATTAATATAAATTATGTTTTAGTTTCGATATAATAATATTGTCGATTATTATTTTCGGAATTAATTATTTTCAGTCGAGATTACCCGAAATTATTTTCGATGTTCTGTTTACGTTCGGAATAATTTTGGTAATTAAGCATTATGTATAATTAAGTAATTAAGCATTTAATTATTCTTAATTAAGTGATTAAGCATGCTTTAGTTGATAAATGCCGTGGCATTTAAATAAATTTTGCTCAATTTTTTTTATAATGCCGTGAGCATTTCCCTTAAGCAAGGGAAACTTATTCTCTCTTTTAGCAAGCATGAGGTCTCCATGTTTTGTGCTATTAGGGATAACTAAGGTTTTTATAAGGATGAGTTAGCAATATTATGCCTTAATTAGCTTCCAAGTGGCATGATAATAATTAACCAACAAGGCTCATCATCCCCTATTTTTGCTTCGGCCGAAATATATATAGGTATAAGGTTGGGGAATTTTTTATCAGTTTCAGCCTTATATTTCCTTAACTTGAGTATAGAGAGCTTGAGAGAGTTAAGTGAGGTGAGAGTATCGCATGCCAAGGCTTAGCTGCACCGCACCGCCGAGAGCTTACACCATGCACACGGAGGACGTTTTCGAGCATCATACCGAACACAGTTTAGTCGAGCGATTGTCGAGGTATACTTCTTTTGATCTTCTTTTTAAGTCAATAAGATCATATTCGAGTTAATCGTTCGGTCTTGCTCGTGAGTTAGCTTAGAAGTTGTAATCGACCGTGCGTGTAGTCATGTCAAGCATGTCACGTTTTGATTAGAAATCTCTCGAGTAATTTTCATGTAATCAGTCCTTTTAAGTCATTCATGTTTAGTTAAGTTCATGTGCTCGAAAGATTTTCATGTTTTCTCGTTGAGTAGGCCGAGGGGCGTGGTCGCGCACCACGGGTCGAGCATAGTTATTGATTGTATTAAATATCAGACCTTCGAGCACTTCATGTCCATTTATTCAGTAAACTTTATTTCATGTTCAGTGGTGTGCTAATTGTCGAGAGAAAGTCAAGTTTGGTCGTGAAACGTCTTAACGCCGTCGGCGGCGCACGGTGCTGATGCGGAAGTGGGTTCCGAGCCCCGACCACAAGAAGGGCCAAGAGCCGAGACAACCCGAGGAAGCTGAAAATAGGGCCACAACGACGCACGCATGGCCTAAGAGACGGGTACGAGCTCGTATGCGAGGCGCACAAGTACACAAGAAAGGGCGCATTCAAGAAGGGCGCGCACACGCGCAT